TTGTCCAATCGAAACCAATCAGTGATATTATTTTGAAAATACATTTTAATCATGTATTTATAGGGGCTTATAATTAATTTTTTGCTCAGGACCCCAAAAAAGTTTGAGACGGCCCTGCACATACTATGTCTATGTTGCCGTTACTGTTTGTCCCACATTTCATGTCACTTTCTTTTTTTGCAAAATGATTTTACACTTTAATCTCATTTTAAATTTTTTTAATTTTAATTAAACTAATTAATTATCTTAATTTTAATTTATAATTATTTATATTATAGGATAATTATTTTTACTAATACATTCTTAATTATCTACTAATTACACCCATCCTAAAATACTGTGTCTAGCAGACACCGTATGTGGGACGAATAGAGTATTATTTTATAATTATTTGGGTTGTTTATTGAATAATTTTTAGGTGAATAAAACTATAACACAATATAATCTCGTAAGGGATGATTAGTTTGCACAGTATTGATTCCGATCGGAGGTTGTCTAATGTGATTTGTTTTATCAGCTTTTAGTTTGCAGACTACTAAGTTGGAAACATTATTTTAATTAAATATGATGGTTATGCGTTCATCAATATAACCAAGAATCTTTTGTTTGTTGGGGATTTAATTAGGTCACCATGTTTTATTTAAAAAAAAAAAAACAAATTAGGTCACCATGTTTTATTGTAACGTAGAAAATTAAATTAACGATCTGAATCCCAATAATTTGCTAGCAAAATGTTTCTTTACTATATAATTTTGTTGTTCTCCATAAAATATACATACTTTTGATATAAAATATTAAATTAAAATATCCAATATACTAAAATAATACACATGAATAATTATAAAAAGGGTTAAAGGAATTGCACAAAACATGGTCGAGTCTCTTTTATTTAATTGTTTGGAACAATAAAATGTATGTTAAATTAAAATTAAATTATTTTGTAAAAAGTTGTAATATGTATGTTTTCTATAAAATGTATTAGGATTAGTAATTTTTGTAATAATGTATTAGTCAAATTAATTATAATATAATGCAATAGTTATATATTACAATTAAGATAAACTCATTAGTATAATTAATGCATATCTAATTTTCCAAAAATAAAAAATAGCATAATAAGATGTGATACAGACAAATAAAAAAGTAAGTATTATTTTTTGTATATGTATGGGTGTTTTTATTTTTCTAAATTTTATGTAATATTTGCTATATATAAAAAATGATGTTCCATAAATAAGTAAATATTAATATAAAATTCAAGTAAACACATCTCATATAAAACAAATTAAAATTCTTCTCTAAGGAAGACTTTACGGTGAATTCGGTTTTATGTTCAAACTTTTGATACATTAATTTTTTTATTTAATTTAGATAGTGTGCTTGTATTATTTTAATAATTTTATGATTTAGAATATATATATATATATTTATATGTATTGTCAATGGTTTCCTTCCATAATTCTCAAATAAATTTCTAACTAAGCATAATTACACTTAAGCTTTTTATTTATTTATTTATTTTCAAACTCCATTATGGTAACGCAATACATTTCAAAGCAATTCGTCTTAGGCCCTCATGTCTAATTTCAAATATTTTATGTCATACTATCATCTATCGTACATCTACAATCAAACTTTAATTAAATTAAATTAAATTAAAGAATAATAAAGATTGGATTTTGTGTGTGTATATATATATATATATATTCATTCTTACTTGAAAGATGGAGGATTAAGAGGCCATTGATGAACATAGTCTTCCAAAGGGTAGCAATGGAGCCTCAAGTAATCCCTCCAATTGTGAATTTCCTCCTTGGCCAGATTCGAGCTCGTGCTCAACCTCGTCGCCTTCGCCGGATCATTCGAGTATAGTTTCATCTTCTCATCCTCCGGCAAGTCAAAGAATTCCTTCGCCGCTCCCACCATCTTCTCCATTACTTCTGTCCTCACCCCGTGATTAATCACCTTCCCGTGTCACAAATTAATTCAAGAAGACCTTACTATAGTTGACCCTAATGAATTGAATCCAAGTCGTTTAATATTATTGTTTTAATTTGTTAAAATAAATATATATATATATATAAAAATATATTTATGTAACTTGGGATTTTAAATGTGCACTTTTATGGTGTTTCAAGTAATGTTTTGTTAATACTTAAGTCACTTCTTACAAACATCCTATGCACATATGATTAGGAAATGACAAGGACAAAAGTGACATATAATGTATATGACTTTTTTTTATGACTTAACACTACTAAAAAAATAATATTGTTGGTTTGGATTTAGTATTAAAATAATATATAATAAAATATTTTTTTCGAAAATTACATAATTCAAATAGTAAAAAATTTGAAATTTAATGACTAAAAAAATAATAAAATTATTATTATTCTTGAAATTTTGGATTTGATTTTGAATTTTGAAAATAATAAAGAAGTGAATTAAAATAAAATTTGATGCGACTAGTTGCTATGATAGAGAATTTAAACGAGATTTTGATGTGAGTGAATTTAAAATTTTCATCCTAACAATATACTAATAAATTAATTTTGTATATATAATTAATATTGTTTTAATAATGGAAGGTGATTTCATTGATTAATGGGCGTATGCTTATCTCACATAATATTAATGTCATCATTTACTTTACTGAACCCTTAAATGACTGTTTTTCCACTAGGCTACGTCATTTTTCTCTCTTAAAATAATTATTTCTCAGATTTTATAAGGAAAAGCTTGTCAATAAAATCGAACAAAGAGAGATTTACTAAGTATTACTATACTAAATCGAAACACTCTTGTTGTTCAAAAGAAGGGGCGAGGGTTCCGTAAGGGATAACCTGGTGGTGTAGGGTTGGATTTGTGACCGTGAGGACATAAATTTAAACCCCGACGTCTCAGATCATTTGCTTTATCGGACGAGTACAATACATTATTTTAATTCCATAATATTTTTACAATTTTTAATACTCCCTGTCCAGCTACGAAGTATACATATTTTTATTTTGGGACGTTCAATTACAAAGTAATCATTTCATTAAATACTTTATTTATTTTTTTTCATAAATACCCTTACTTTACATCACATCATTACTTGTATACCAAATATAAGGGTTAAAATGTCATTATACTACTTTTACCTACCCACTATAATTAAAATACTATTATTTCTTAAATTTCATGCCAAAAGTAAATATATATTTATTGTTTGGACGGAGGCAGTATTTCATAACAAAAACACTTAAAACGATCAATATTAAACAAATATATTACTAATATCTTGCAAATTTATAAAGGAAAAGGAAAAACAATTAAATGACGGAAGTAATAATAGCCTAAATAAGTTCAAGAAGTAATAATTTTATTATTATAATAATTATTTTTTAAATAATGAAAATAGAAATAGAAATAGAAATACATGCAAAACATATATAACAATGGACTGAAAATTGGGTTTGGGCCAAACCCTAGTGTGTTATCTCGTTAAAATAAATAATATTTTGAATATATATTCAATGAATATTTTAATTAATAAAAATATATAATAAGAGATATTTTTTTTCTTTTGATTTTATGCACTATTTATATTTATCGACAAGATTTTTTTATTTTTTATTTTTTTAAAAAACCCTAAAAATATATATTTTTCTCAGAAAATGTATATATATATAAAAAAAAAAAACTTAACTTTTTACTACAATTTTAAGAATTTGAAAACTTCCAAATTTTTATGAAGAAAAAACTGAGCCAAAACTTTAAAAATTAAAAGTAAATAAAATTATTAATGGTAACAGAATATCTTATTATTGGACTCTAAAATTCTTTTAGGATGTGTTTGTTCCAAAAAATATCAAATCAAACACCTATTATTCAATTTTTTATATTATATTAAAAATCAATTTTACATTCAAAATATCTCATTAACATCTATTTATATCACATCATACAACTATTCAAATTCAAAATTTTTACTATTCAAATCCAAACTCCCAAACAAACAAAAATTTAGGTAACTTTTACTAATAGATAAATTATGGATTTCCTTTTGACATATAGTTTAGAAAAAGAAAAAAATTTAAAAGATTCGACATATAGTTTAGGAAAAGAAAAAATTTGAAAAATATATACGGACGGTTAGAAGTACATCTACAAAATCAACGGTTGATATATCGGAATGAAAATACGTTCCGAACCATTATCTAAAGGGTTTGCTCTTTGCTTTTGCCGCTGTACTTTAATTCTTGTTGAGATATTTTAGATATTCAGTTTTAGATTTAGTAAATTTATATCTAGATTTGATCTTATTCATAGATTAGATTACTTAGATTTGAGTCTATCGGGTCTGTTTTATATTGCATATATATAGGCTCCTTATTTTGATGATCAATAAGACAATCTCATTATTTTCCTCCAAAATTTCTAACAATTCTGTTCTCGAAGATTTTTCTATACTTGTTTCTCTGCTGCTACAAACTGATACTTGATTCAAAGGTATGGTTTCTTTCTCTTATTTGAATTTTGTTCGATGTTAATTATGGCGTTTTCTGTTATGTTTATTTTGATATATATGTGGTTTTTTGTTTGTGATGTATGCGATGAGTGGTGTTATTTTTGTTTTGGTGGAATTCTAGTTCGTATCGATGTGATATTTAGTTGGAATTTGATTTTTGGTGCAGTTGCGTCTCTGATCTTGGTTCGTATGTGTGTTAATTAGAGTTTTCTTAAGAAAAATTAGTTGAATGAGGTTAATTACGCTAGAAAGGGGAAGTTTATCCTCGATGACAGTCGAGGATTCATCTGATTGAATTACAATCTGTTTGATTGATGTATGATGAAGTTTACTTAACCTAATAATTGTTAAGTTAATCCATTCGAATTGTTACGTACGAAACTTCTGTGCGATTTGCCATTGCTCTCTTAAATTTGTTTAAATTCAATTTTGAGTTATTTTCAGATGTTCATGTGAAGTATGTTGTTGAATAATTCCAAATCCTCTTTAAATTTCCCCATCTTGAAGGTCTTTTTCGTGTTTAGAATTAAAAATTTGAAAGCAGTGAATAATTTGGAGATGTTGAGAAACATTCTTCTAAATCATATTGCTTACACCTTCTCTACAACTCCATGGATTTCAGATGCAGATCTTCGTGAAAACGGTGACGGGGAAGACGATCACGCTGGAAGTCGAGAGCTCCGACACGATCGAGAATGTGAAGGCGAATATTCAGGACAAGGAAGGCATCTCGCCGGACCAACAGAGGCTGATATTCGCCGCGAAGCAGCTCGACGACGACTGGATGCTCTCCGATTATAATATCCAGAAGGAATCCACCCTCCACCTCGTCCTCTGGCTCCGCGGCGCCGCCACCACCACCACCACCGCCAGGTTCCATTGATTTCCTCTGTTTTTAGGCATTGCATTACATTGCCATATGCATGCATATATATATATATATATATATAGGTTTAGATCAATGGTTTTCTAGTAGTTAGATTTAATAATGCATGGCCATGCAATTGCTATGATTTTTTTTATTCTTTTTCCTTTTTGGGTTTAGGAGAAAACAGAATGACTGTGGCTTTCATATTTTCATTTATATGACATTTTTAACTCTGCATTTGACATTATTTATTGTGAGTGTGATATATATATATATATATTTGTGTTTGTTTAAATGATTTTGACAATTTTACACTATTTATACAATTTTTTTTTTCAAAAATATCAAATCAAATACTTATTTTTATTTTTTATATTATACTAAAAATTTATTTTACATTCAAAATATCACAAATATAATAAGCAAACACACATTCGCATTTTGTTTATTGGTACTAATACTTTGTATGAAAAGAAAAGATAAACATGAGATTTAAATAATAATAAATTTGAATAAGACAAATTTTTCTTTTTAGTTTATAGTTAATTTTGATAAAATAAAAAATTTAACACTTATTTGCTAAACTTAATTACATTATATTTTTACCATGGTTAATTACCAATTAAATTTTCAAAAATATTTCTAATTATTTTTTTCTTTTTATAATTTTTCAATAAAATATATTAAGTAACTTTTTTTAAAAAAAATAAAAATTGTATCGAATTCAAATGGACTATGTAATTTTAAAAATTATTAAAAATATTGAATTTAATATCTTCAAATCGTAAGATAATTTTGTTGGTAAATCTCCAAGGAGAGGAGAGGAGCATAGAGCTACTTGTAGGCGTTCGACACGTGTCCCCTCCCATTAACTTAATTAGTGGTTAGTTTCCTTTGCAACTAACGCCAACTGCTAACAAAAGCATCATTTTGTAAACACTTTTACTTTTTAAAATAAGTAAAAAAGTGATATAACTAGTCAGTCACTATGTATTATTTAATTTATGTTTTATGCTATATTTTATATAAACAAAATTACTTGGTCAATACTATCAAAATTTTAAAATATATTTACATAAACAGAGCAATAAAACTTATATAATAATTAATGTGCGATAGCCAAATAAATATTATAATTACTTTCTTAATATAATTATAAAATTATTTTACACTATATATTGATAAAAAAAAAAAAATTGATTCGTTCTAGCGAAGAAAATCGTCGAACCAGTGCTTCCCGACGAGCTCACCGATTCGTATCGTGAATTCGAAAAACGGGTCGACGAGTATGTCGCGTCGGAGACTGTATCGATGCTCACTCTTCTACCCGACAAAAGCCCCGATCGTGGTTACGTCACGGAAATTCTCGCGCCCGTGAACAACATATCGAAGCGTCTCCACCGATACGGATTAACGAACGCGGAAGGTTATGCGCGAACGTGCTACATACTAATCCTACTCGACGACGATCAAATCGTCGACTGGTTCGTCGGGATCGTGCGGCGGTGGGTGAGGTGGTTCTTCGACTGCGACAATTTCGCCGAAGTGAAGCGGGCAATATCGACCCAGGTGCGGATGTCATGCATACGAACGTTGGCGTCGAAGTACCGAATCCACGAAACGGAGATCGCCAAGAAGTTCGACAAGGAGCTGAGCAGGATCCCGTTGTCGTCGACGGACGAGATCGAGCTCGAGGATCTTTATTCGGACATGGTTTCGAGCGAAAACGAGCTCGACGGCGCGTCGATGTACGGGGTGAGCGACAGCGGGGTGACCCAGGTCGATATCGGCACTTAATTTTTAATATGGTTTTCGATTTATATTAAAAAAATATAATATATATAGTTTTGTACAAAATATATAATATATAATTTATACACTAAAAAAGATAATAGTTTAACATAAAATATTACTTCCTCCATCCCACTTAATTTGTCCACTTTTTCTATATCTGTCCGTCCCATATAAATTATCTCTTTTCTGTTTTGAAAATATAATTATACACTTTAATCATATTTTAAAATTCATAATTTATAAAAAAAAAAAATTAATTAACTATTCAGTTATTTTAATCTATAATTATTTTTATTATACCATAATTATTTTACTAATATATTTCTTAATTACTTACTAATTACATCATAACTAAAACTTCGTGTCCCAACTAAAATTGACAAATTAGTTGGGTAATATTTTTTTTACACTACTTTAAACTAAAAATACAAAGTTAATACACTAGTAAAATAAATTTTAAATTATTAATCTATTTAAAATATCATTAGTAATATAATAAAATTAATGATTATAAATAAATATATGTAATTGTGGCATTATATTCAAATAAAATATTATATTTTTATAAAAGCAATAAAATATAATTTAAATATAAAAATATATATATACATATAATATTAAAAAAATTATTTTAATTTTTATTAGATTAGATAGGAGGAGGGTATTATATATGGTAAGTTTTTAAATTAGGTAAGTAGCCGTTAATAATAATAATTTTGATTTTGAATTTGATTTTAATTTTAATATACACATAATATTAAAATGTGAAATTATATATGGTAAGTGTTTTATATTAGGTAAGTAGCCGTTAAGTAAGTATAATAATTTTGAATTTGAATTTGATTTTAATTTTAATATACACATAATATTAAAATGTGAAATTATATATGGTAACTTTTTATATTAGGAAAGTAGCCGTTAGATATAATGATTTTGAATTTGAATTTGATTTTAATTTTAACATACACATAATATTAAAATATAAAATTATATATGGTAAGTGCTTTATATTAGGAAAGTAGCCGTTAGATATAATGATTTTGAATTTGAATTTGATTTTAATTTTAACATACACATAATATTAAAATATAAAATTATATATGGTAAGTGTTTTATATTAGGAAAGTAGCCGTTAAAACACATATTATAAATACTCTTGATTTTGATATTGTATACATTATTATAAGCAATGCAAATGCAAATGAAGGGGGTGGGGGGTACGAGCAGGGGCAGGGGCAGGGGGGGTTTCATTAGGAATTACGAAGAGGTGTGCTTACATGAGGGAGGGCGATCCATTTAAGGAAGAGGTCAAGTGCAGTGCTTAGGAGGGCGATCCATTTAAGGGAGAGGTCAAGTGCAGCGCTTCGATTTCGATCGATCGATGCAATAGCAGCAAAGCAAGGGCAGGGGCAGGTGGAATTCCGAAGGTTTTGTGAAGAGGGTTCTGGAGAATTTCGGGGATCCAGCTGACACTTGTCGACAAGTAAGTACTGCTCTAGTGGTAATGTAATTTTGGTGAAAAATGGTTTCGAAGAGGCTTATGCTGTCCGGGGAGGGATTAGTGGCAAGAAGGGATGGCATGGTTATTTCTATATGTTTCTTTTTGTCTTGTGTTAATCATTCAAGAAATTATAGTATGACACTTTTCTTGGAAAATTTTAGAATCCAATCTTGGAACTTTGGCACATTTCTTGGAAAATTTTAGAATCCAATCTTGGAACTTTGACACTTTTCTTGGAAAATTTTAGAATCCAATCTTGGAACTTTGGCACTTTTCTTGGAAAATTTTAGAATCCAATCTTGGAACTTTGGCACTTTTCATGAAAAATTTTAGAATCCAATCTTTGAACTTTTCTTGGTTATGATATACCTAATAATGAATGCTTTTGGATTTGACTCTTCACTTAAGCATGTGATTTGTTAGTTATTCTGGATCGATGATGTTGTGTGCTTATTTTGTAGGAGACGAGGGAGTGGCCGGATGATCGGACGACCGTAGGGAGTAATTCGTCCATTTCCTTTTATATTTATGCATTTAATTTAATTTAGCATTTTGCATATAGAAATAGATTTATTTTTACGTCCGTCCCGGGACATGCATGCATTAATTTTGTTTCTATATTTTACACTAACTTATTTTTTAAGTGTTTTTAATTTGTAGGTAAAGCTTATGGGGAGACGAGGGAGTGGCCGGATGATCGAACGACCGTAGGGAGTAATTCGTCCCTTTCCTTTTACGTTTATGCATTTAATTTAATTTAGCATTATGCATATAGAAATAGATTTATTTTTACGTCGGTCCCGGGACATGCATGCACTAATTTTTTTGTTTCTATATTTTATACTAACTTATTTTCAAGTGTTTTTAATTTGTAGGTAAAGCTTATGTGGAGACGAGGGAGTGGCCGGATGATCGGACGACCGTAGGGAGTAATTCGTCCCTCTCCTTTTACATTTATGCATTTAATTTAATTTAGCATTATGCATATAGAAATAGATTTATTTTTACGTCGGTCCCGGGACATGCATGCATTAATTTTTTTGTTTCTATATTTTATACTAACTTATTTTCAAGTGTTTTTAATTTGTAGGTAAAGCTTATGTGGAGACGAGGGGATCCGCAAAGATCCTTCGATCTCGATTTCAAATCCAAGGTAAGTGATTTTAATACTATTTTTTTCTTTCCTATACATATATACTAATATCTATTTTAAATCTTTTTAGATGCATACGAGAGGGAGTGGCCGGATGATCGGACGACCGAATACATCATAGGGAGTAATCCGTCCCTTTCCTTTTACATTTATGCATTTTATTTAATTTAGCATTATGCATATAGAAATAGATTTATTTTTACGTCGGTCCCGGGACATGCATGCATTAATTTTTTTGTTTCTATATTTTATACTAACTTATTTTCAAGTGTTTTTAATTTGTAGGTAAAGCTTATGTGGAGACGAGGGGATCCGCAAAGATCCTTCGATCTCGATTTCAAATCCAAGGTAAGTGATTTTAATACTATTTTTTTGTTTCCTATACATATATACTAATATCTATTTTAAATCTTTTTAGATACATACGAGAGGGAGTGGCCGGATGATCGGACGACCGAATACATCATAGGGAGTAATCCGTCCCTTTCCTTTTACATTTATGCATTTTATTTAATTTAGGATTATGCATATAGAAATAGATTTATTTTTACGTCGGTCCCGGGACAT